GACGTCGAAATTTGGTTTTATTTACCAAAATAGGTAGAATTACATCTAAATCCACATTGTAGTAGCCCAGTACGTTTGGTTAGTAATACCTCTCTAGGGAAATTTGACGTCAGTATAACGTTAATTCGACGTTGATTTAACTAAGTTTAGGTAGAAACTACCAAAATATTTGCAGATGACGTATGCCTCCAAGTGTACGAAAAGAAATTTTATACTTATTTGGTATTTTTATCTATATATAAGTAGAAATATTGTAAGAAGTCACCAACACAACTAAAACATATACCTAATTCACATGAAATATTGAAAATAAATAAATATTGGTGACAAAAATATATGTAATGTAATTGCGGTGAATATACAGCTCACGCTTGTTGAAATTAATGCAAAGAAAATTTTGTCGTGCATGTTAACAGTTCTACTTAGAAAAATAACAATGCCCTTCCAAAATACTCTCTAATTAAAAAAATATAAGAAAAAAATATGATCGTGTAAAAAAATAATAAAAAATAATAAATAATGTTTCGTTTTTCGGTATTTTCATTCGTATGTTTTAGTTATGGTCATTTTAAAAATTTAAAATTTGGAATCGTACTTCAATTACGTTAAGAAAATATGGCGTATTGTGCGAATTCGACCTAAAAGTTATTATGACTAAGGAAATCTACATATTTTACAAATACCTTTTTACTAAGTTGAATTAACTTCAATTTCATGACATATTAGTTAACTTTACCTATTTAAAGAAATAATAACTTATAGGTTTTAAAAAAAATTTACCTATAGGTAAATATAACATATTTAGGTCACGTTGTTCTGCACTTGAGATTTTAGACGTTTCACTTTACGATAAAAATCGGAAGTATAACGATATGATTTATTATTTTTCGAACTCATTTTATTAATTATTTTTCGCATTCATTTAAAGCTCTATCTACACCACACGTAAATTAAGATTACGACTGTAATGGTTTTTTTAAAATGGCCGAAATTCTTAAGAATAATGACGAAGACAGTAACTGAACAACCTAATTGTTAAAATAACCCAAATAATATAAATTTTACAAATAGGTCATGTATGACTTTTTTTAAATTGGTGGTTTTTAGTCGAATTTACTTTGTGGTAAATTTTTCAGGTAATTGCTACAACAAAGTTAATAAATATTTCTTCAAGATGACTTATAGGTCAACTAAATGAGTATTCGACTATTTGGTTGAAATTAGGTAGATAAACAGGTAGAATGTTGCTACGATCTCGACCTAATATTACTTTAAAGAAGAGTAAATAAAAGCTGCCAAATAGGTTACTATGGAGGCATAAAATTACGTAAAATTTTTAACCAAATCTACCTAGTTGGATATTCTACTATAAAGACGATTTTTAGTTACCAAACAGGTAGATATTACCTAAATATGGCACCTAATTTTACTACAAAGGAAATTTAACTTTGAAGTAATTGTTGGTTATTTTTTTTAGTAGTTTTTCCCTTGCTGATATGGTTAAAGTTACTTTTAAGCAGATTTGTGTAAAAGGTAGATTTCTTGGTATAATTTACGTAAATTTAAATATAAATTAAAACCGTTTGGTAAATTTACATTAGAGGTATATTTTTCTAGTCAATTTTACGTAATAATTACCTCAATAAGTAAATTCGTCTTAAACAAAGTCGAGTTATAACTAATGTTATAGAAAATGTTTGCTGGGTACGTAAAGAAGATCATTTTGACACTAAGGTTAGGTTTTAAATGAGTGGGATGATCTCATTGCCTTTCACTGCGACCCAGATGAGTCTATTGTGGCTCATGACTAACTTATAGTTCACCGTACAAGCCACATCTTTTGATAAAGGTCATGGTAGAATTAGGTGAGACTTCTTTAAAGTCGGTAGGCTCCAGTCGGGTAAATCCGAAGATCTGGAACCTGGTTCTTTCCAGAGTGGAGCAGGTACATAAAATCTGTCTTCAGACTCGTCCTCCACGCTGCAGAATCGACAGTCCGATGTTTGTTGCAGATTTATTCTTCTCATATGGTTGCCCAGACGGCAGTGTCCTGTCATCAGTCCAGTGAAAATGCGCAGATCTCTCCTACTCCATTCTCAAATCTGAGCAGAGGCATTCATGGAAGGGTTGGTTATAAACACCTTCGAATGGGTTAGTCCTGGGGTATCTCTCCAGTTCGTTAGTGTTGCACCCTCCGTCCATTTTGAGATAATTCCTTTGGCAGTGCTTTTTGCAATGCCCAGGAATGGTTCTGGTCCTATGGACACAGATTCGGTTTCTCTTTTAGCAAGTGCGTCGGCTGTTTCGTTGCCCTCCACACCACTGTGTCCCGAAAACCAGATCAAAGTAACTTTGTTCCGGGCACCGAGACACTCTAGGCTATTTATACAGTTCCAAACTAGCTTTGAATCAACTCGATTGGAGCCCAGGGCCTTAAGGGCTGCCTGGCTATCTGGCTAGCTTTGCTCTGGCCATCCGTTGGAGTCCCTTGTCCAACTAGACGACAGAGCCGTACGTAACCATGGGTTTTACCACTGTTTGGTAAATCCAATAGATCAGTTGAGGACTGATCCCCATGCTTTGCCGCATATCTTTCTAAGAATCCAGAGAGATAATCTGGCTGTTAATGGTTTTATCCAATTGGGAGTTCCAGGTGAGTTTCTTATCTAGGGTGATTTCCAGATATGTCACCTCCTCCGCAAAAGGAATGGTTTCCCCAGCCAAGGTAGGTTGTCGAAGCTTGTCGAGCTTTCTTCTCTTGATGAAGGGGACAATAACAGTTTTGCGGGGGTTAACAGACATCTGTTCCATTTCGCATTTCGACACTTCCTGCGATTACAATAAATATTTTTAAAATAATTTATTTTCAGTTACTATTAATTAAAAAAAAAGCCCTGACATATTTCGGTAAATAAATAACTAAATAATGAAAACATACTTAATAATGTAAAATGTGATTTCTTATTAAAAGAGTAAAATTAATAATTTAAAAAAAGTGACCTGTTGGTAGTAAAATAAAATTCTTGATACTATACCTACTAGTATACCTAGTATACCTACTTTACCTACTATATCTACTCTACCTTCTATACATACTATAAATACTATAACCACTATACCTATCATGCCTAATATACCTAATATACCTAATATACCTAATATACCTAATATACCTAATATACCTAATATACCTAATATACCTAATATACCTAATATACCTAATATACCTAATATACCTAATATACCTAATATACCTAATATACCTAATATACCTAATATACCTAATATACCTAATATACCTAATATACCTAATATACCTAATATACCTAATATACCTAATATACCTAATATACCTAATATACCTAATATACCTAATATACCTAATATACCTAATATACCTAATATACCTAATATACCTAATATACCTAATATACCTAATATACCTAATATACCTAATATACCTAATATACCTAATATACCTAATATACCTAATATACCTAATATACCTAATATACCTAATATACCTAATATACCTAATATACCTAATATACCTAATATACCTAATATACCTAATATACCTAATATACCTAATATACCTAATATACCTAATATACCTAATATACCTAATATACCTAATATACCTAATATACCTAATATACCTAATATACCTAATATACCTAATATACCTAATATACCTAATATACCTAATATACCTAATATACCTAATATACCTAATATACCTAATATACCTAATATACCTAATATACCTAATATACCTAATATACCTAATATACCTAATATACCTAATATACCTAATATACCTAATATACCTAATATACCTAATATACCTAATATACCTAATATACCTAATATACCTAATATACCTAATATACCTAATATACCTAATATACCTAATATACCTAATATACCTAATATACCTAATATACCTAATATACCTAATATACCTAATATACCTAATATACCTAATATACCTAATATACCTAATATACCTAATATACCTAATATACCTAATATACCTAATATACCTAATATACCTACTATACCTACTATACCTACTAAACCTACTATACCTATTGTACCTACTATATATCTATCTACTTTATCTACTATACCTTCTATATCTATTATACCTACTATATGTACCATATCTACAGTTCACAAATCTAATAAATCGTACCAATGGATGAATTTTTATCTTATTTGTTTATCTGTGATACTTGTATATAACCTATAAATACACTACATGCGAAAGGGTTAATTTTATGATTGTTATTTACCCCTCGTAAAGATTATGTCTACCAATGTCTTTAGAGATTAATTGATTCTTTTTATCTCAGTAAGGCTAGTTAGATATAATTTTTGTCTTATATCTTATCTTATATCAAATAATATTGATGATATTGATGATAATGATGATAGGTACCTATGTAGTTACATTATCTTGTTTGTTATGAAATATTTCTATTTAATCATTCCAGATTACTAACATTTAGTTTTTAATGGAAAGAATAAATCAAAATAAATTAACTAAAATTCAACCGGTGGAAGGCTTATTTTTTAATGGAACCAATCTTAACCTAAAAATCACCTGTTTAAAATTAAAGAGAAAGCCCTATTTTCGGTTTTCCTTTTAATCCTTTTTATTTTATTGCGCATCCAAATATGAAGATAATAAGTTTTAATTTGAAAATATAAAAAAGAGCCTAATTTGATAAAAATTCTAATGATATAGTTATCCATTTAAATTAATTTTAATTATTAAATTTCAACTTAATATTTTCATGAATTATGTATTAACGTATTATGTATTAATAATATTTTTTAATATTGATTGGAAAGAAAGATTTCTCTTTTCATGCATTTCAAAAATGTTTATTTTTCAAATTGTTTCGCGAAAACTGTTTATTGTGGCATTCATAAAGTTAAATACACGATATTTTGATAGTTTATTTGCAAGAGAAAATTAATAAAATACAAACCTGTTGCCTAGTTACAAAAGTAAAGACCGCTATGCAATACAGCCCTTGTAAACATCCAGCGGAAGATGACTGGCGATATCAAAATGTTAATTCGACCTGCGTCACAGTCACAACGAAATGATTAACAAACGTACTAATGATGATTTTTGGTCTTATGTTCGGTATGTTTGAGTCAATTAGAACATTCAAACGTCACGCGTTTGTTTGAACCTTTGCGGCACAATAGATACAGTTCAACTACCGGAGACAGGAGAGTACAGAGTGGGGCGGGACATCTTGTATTGATCACTCCCTGGTGTTGGCTGCCCTTTCGTATTACTATACACTATACTGGGTCATGAGCTTTGGGATTTAGGAGAACACCGCGTTATCCAATATTATAAATATAAAAGTATTGAAACTCTGATAAGTACTTACCTATATCTTAATAAAAAATTATTATTTGTACTGAATATATTGGGTAGATTATAGCGCAAACAAAGTTTCAAAAGATTGAGTTTTACAAATGTTAAAATACAATTTTGACGTTTTAGTACTGTTTTTTTTGCATAATAATTAGTATAGTTGTCATTTGATGGTAGCTATTTAGTATAATGATGGTAAAATATGTAAGTCCGGGATGTAGACTGCAGAGGGACAAGTCGAAAGAAATTAGGCGGGTGCGTAATATTGATTTGATTTAATAGTATGGTGCTATTTGTAATAAAACCACTCTAAAAATGAATTGTTAGTGAATTAAAAACAAAAATTTTGGATATTCTAAGACTGGAGGTAATACAAAATTAGACTATGCAAAAGGGCACTAGTTTCAATATTTTAACCATTGCATAGAGCGTAACGCATACTAAAAAAATCAAAAAATCCCTTTACAAGTTACGTAAATATATTATTTTAAAAATTTAAAAAACCATTGGGGCCTACGGCCCAAACAACTAAAAATTCAATATTCTTGGTTTAATTGCGATAAATGTTGTACTTTTTATGTTTACACTACGAAATTAGCTACACAAGCTTTCAAAATAAAAAATACGTGTGGCACTCGGGGTCTGCCGCGGTAAAGCTATTGCATAGCATTTTTTATTAACTTATGCAATTATAATTATTTATTTTATTTATGCAGTATTTCTTTTTTCTTTGATATTAATTCAAGTTACACTTTTTAAGCGTGGTGACCGATAAGAAAACAAATCTTACAATACATGTACAGGAATTTTTATCATTGAAACTATAGGTTTATGGTAACTGAAATAAGAAACATAAGTTTGAGACTTGATATCCTCTAAATATCTGGAAAATACCGCATCAATGGTGGTCCCATATTTTGTTGTGGATTCTTGTGGATCATTATTTATTTTCAAATTCAATATTTCCGAAATTGTGTCTAAAAGAGATAGAATCAGTTATGAGCAGTTAGCTAGTCTCTACACGCATACGTCTAGTCGCACGCTCACAAACACCGTGCCGAAGTCTGCCGAACTGAAACGATGTTAGACGATGCACGGCTTTCATCGCCGCACCGCTGTGCTGGTCGGAGTGGGGGGTATTAGGTTTATTTTCGTTACGGAATTTCTTTTTCGATTATTCGATTTTTTGATTTTTGATTTTTCGATTTTTCGATTTTTCGAGTTTTCGAGTTTTCGATTTTTCGATTTTTCGATTTTTTGATTTTTCGATTTTTCGATTTTTCGATTTTTCGATTTTTCGATTTTTTGATTTTTCGATTTTTCGATTTTTAATTTTTTGATTTTTCGATTTTTCGATTTTTCGATTTCTCGATTTTTCGATTTTTCGATTTTTCGATTTTTCGATTTTTCGATTTTTCGATTTTTCGATTTTTCGATTTTTCGATTTTTCGATTTTTCGATTTTTCGATTTTTCGATTTTTCGATTTTTCGATTTTTCGATTTTTCGATTTTTCGATTTTTCGATTTTTCGATTTTTCGATTTTTCGATTTTTCGATTTTTCGATTTTTCGATTTTTCGATTTTTCGATTTTTCGATTTTTCGATTTTTCGATTTTTCGATTTTTCGATTTTTCGATTTTTCGATTTTTCGATTTTTCGATTTTTCGATTTTTTGATTTTTCGATTGTTCGATTTTTCGATTTTTCGATTTTTCGATTTTTCGATTTTTCGATTTTTCGATTTTTCGATTTTTCGATTTTTCGATTTTTCGATTTTTTGATTTTTCGATTTTTCGATTTTTCGATTTTTCGATTTTTCGATTTTTCGATTTTTCGATTTTTCGATTTTTCGATTTTTCGATTTTTCGATTTTTCGATTTTTCGATTTTTCGATTTTTCGATTTTTCGATTTTTTGATTTTTCGATTTTTCGATTTTTCGATTTTTCGATTTTTCGATTTTTCGATTTTTCGATTTTTCGATTTTTCGATTTTTCGATTTTTCGATTTTTCGATTTTTCGATTTTTCGATTTTTCGATTTTTCGATTTTTCGATTTTTCGATTTTTCGATTTTTCGATTTTTCGATTTTTCGATTTTTCGATTTTTCGATTTTTCGATTTTTCGATTTTTCGATTTTTCGATTTTTCGATTTTTCGATTTTTCGATTTTTCGATTTTTCGATTTTTCGATTTTTCGATTTTTCGATTTTTCGATTTTTCGATTTTTCGATTTTTCGATTTTTCGATTTTTCGATTTTTCGATTTTTCGATTTTTCGATTTTTCGATTTTTCGATTTTTCGATTTTTCGATTTTTCGATTTTTCGATTTTTCGATTTTCGATTTTTCGATTTTTCGATTTTTCGATTTTTCGATTTTTCGATTTTTCGATTTTTCGATTTTTCGATTTTTCGATTTTTCGATTTTTCGATTTTTCGATTTTTCGATTTTTCGATTTTTCGATTTTTCGATTTTTCGATTTTTCGATTTTTCGATTTTTCGATTTTTCGATTTTTCGATTTTTCGATTTTTCGATTTTTCGATTTTTCGATTTTTCGATTTTTCGATTTTTCGATTTTTCGATTTTTCGATTTTTCGATTTTTCGATTTTTCGATTTTTCGATTTTTCGATTTTTCGATTTTTCGATTTTTCGATTTTTCGATTTTTCGATTTTTCGATTTTTCGATTTTTCGATTTTTCGAATTAAAATTAATGAAAACAAATAATAATTATAACTAATTATTTTAATTAATTATGCCAACTATTAATAATTGCAAAAATACTTTAACATGAAAGTTAATCATGAGTATAATTAATAAGATAAATTATTTTAAATTTTAAGGATCAACATGACATTTTTAATAATATTACTGTGTATACCGAAGTAGTATTTAATATTAAAAAATATTGCGTAATACCTGACAAGGATTTTCTTCTGTTGAACCCCTTTCTCCATGAAAATGTAGTGAACAAATGTAAGTATCTTTAGTAACATCATCCATCAATCGATCGAAAACCTTTGTCACTTCAACTACATTTTTTCAATCATAATGCTCATTTTGAACATGTTTTAATATGTATTTTTTCTACACCCGTATTATAATAATGCACTTATATGCCCATAATCCGTTTCATAATGATACCCATTATGATACAGATTTTTCATTATGATACAGATTTTTAATCAATAGAAACCTACAATTTTTCAATCAAGCATGATGTTTGACGTTTGTCCTAAATTCCTATGTAATTGTTTTAGTTGTCAAAACGTATTAAATTTTCGTAGATAGCTAAACTTCGATAATTATAATATTAAAATGTCTGATATCAGCGATATAGAAGACTCCTCCACACATATCGGAGAAAGGAGAAAATGCAGTACAAAATATTTTGCCCCAAAAATCTGTGGTAATACCAATACCCAAGGTAATACTATTAATTACAATTTTGTAGAATTTTTTATAGAAATACGAGTAATTACTGTTATTGTGTTCAATGCCAATATAAATAGAATATTTATAGGTCTTGATTATTTATCGGGTGTAGAAAAAATAGCGTATGCAACTCTCATGTAATGGTTATTAAAACACTCGCATAAACCATACGAAACTCGCCTTTGGCTCGTTTCGTATCCCGGTTAATGCTCGTGTATTAATAACCATCATTACATGATCGTTGCATAATATACTATTGCCTAATGATTTGATAGTTTTTTACGATATTGCAGGCAAGTCTTTTTATAAAATAATAATTTATACCTTGTGTCACTTTTACACACTCATAACAATACCATTTAGTTTTTATTTTCCGTAAAGATACCACAATTAATTGATTGCAAAAATTGATTTCTCAATTAAGGCACTTATTACTTTACTTTTTTATCGCATTTTTTAAACGAATGCACTTAAAATTAATATTTATCGATTATAATTTTTTTCACGTTGACATTTTAACATGGTTGTTTACAAAAAACAGTACGAAAAAGATGGCTGATACTGACACATGCGCAAAAAAAAAAATTGTGATGAAAAGGCCTATAGTTTAAAAACGTCTTTATAAAAATTTCTAAACTGTATAGAGATCATAACAAAAGATCAACTATATTTTTTATAAAATAATCAACTCATGGTAATTAATATAAAACAAATCCATTAAAACAGCAGCCACGATTGATATACCGCCAGGCAGGGCCCCAGTGCAAGGGCCCCTTATATAATTAGGGTTAACAGATGTGCAGGAAATAGCGGGGCATTTTTATAAAAATCAAGTCCTTTCTGTGTTAAATTTATAAGACAAGGTCCTCAGCAAAATCAGGTACTTTCTTGGGGAGATCTAAAAAAAAGTCCTCAGCCAGTATTTTTCATAAACCAGGTCTTTCCTTTTGTGGCGAACTTCTAAAAAAAGCACTCAGCTGCTAAAGCTGCCGGGCGCCCCTTGTGCCCGACCCTGGGAATTTTGCCCCCCTTCTTGTTGGGCTAATCGTTGATTACTTTTTTATTGCTTCGCTTTGTCCGTCTCTGTTAAACATGTTGTTCTAAGTGTATATCTAACTTTGTCATACAATTCTTTTTTAAAATAAAGATGTTTAATTTTTCTATATTTAAATTGATTTGAGGAGTAAAACACTAAATTTAAAACATTCCCAAATTTTGGAAATCACACAAAATTTGTATGATTTCGGAGAAATCACCTTTTAATTCATATGATTTCGGTGATTTCAACCAAATAACCCTTAAATTTATAAGATTTCGTTGATTTTGCCGAAATCTCCCTTAGTTTTATACGATTTCAGGGATTTCAGCGAAATCATTGCATA